GTGTGGCTGGATAAGGAGAAGCTGACTGCTGATGGAAGCTGTGAAGTGATGTGAAAGAAGGATGTTGAGGATGATGGTGGTGATGATTAGGGAACTATAGAGCAAATGTTTGAATAATTAGATTTACTGATTAATAGAAGAAGAAGGTGAGCTTATGACTGCCGCTGTTAATATCAAGTCTTGGCAGGGCTGGAGAGAGACTCCATTTTCAGCAGAGGGTAACTGAGAAATTAGTATGCCTCGATTCAAGAAACCGAAATGTTTAAAATTCTGGCCATGTGCCCAGCATGTCTATTTCTATGTCAGCCCGTTTATATTAGGCCCCATTCAAAGTCAGACCAGTGCGAATAATTTTACAGTAGCTTGGTTTGCAAATGACTTGCTGCAGGCTCGTGGGCTTGCCACATTTCCACAGCAGTCTCCGACAGAGCAGTGCTTCAAACAGGCGTGACTGGGCCAGGCTGTGCAAGACAGATTAGTCAGACCTGAGGCTAGGTCAGAAATATGACTGCAGTGGAGCCTGCGGAGCATTTCCTAGATCCACAAGGCTGCAGGGGTGGATGCAGAGAAAGAGAGAGAGAGAGAGAGAGAGAGAGAGAGAAAGATGATGCAGAGGGAGAGAACAAAGACCTCAGCTTCGGAGAGGGAAAGCATAGACAAAGGAAAGAACAGACAGCTGGATAAAAATAGGCACATGTTAGCTACATAGGCATTTTGTAAAGGAGAATATCAAGACAGAGCATGTGTGGGAGGCAGCCACCACTCACAGGCATGCATGTGGATGTGTCTGAGCCACACATGTCGTAGCCACTCCCTTTACAGTATGTGCAGTGGCTTACAAAGATTGTTTTAAATTTCAGACAAAGCCATTCAGATTCTTGACAGCTCTTGACTTGTCAAACATAGCTCTTACGCTACGGAATATGTCTCATACAGTATATTTTATGTTTTGCTGCATTATCAATATGATGGCTGACAGGAAAGGTCAAACCTGTGTGCTCAGGAGTTTTTTCTCATCTTTCACAGCCAAAATGTCTGACAAGCCTGACATGACTGAGATTGCCCGTTTCGACAAGACAAAGCTGAAGAAGACAGAGACAAAAGAAAAAAACCCTCTGCCCACCAAAGAGAGTGAGTGCCCCCGTGTGTATGTGTGGGTTTCTGAACAGTACTGAAGCCTTGATCCCTGATCCCCCCCTGCAACAATTTCCCTGTCAGTCGGTTCTCATCACTTCCAGTGCTGTCAGAAGACTACATGCTCAGCAAGCAGAGCAGCAAAAAAAAAACAAATTGCTGCAACATCAGCACATTATTGATATACAGCATGTCCAAAAGCAGCATCCTCTCCCGCATTAACTAAACACAAGACTGCTGACCTAAACTACTTCTTCTTTTCTTTCCTCAGCCATCGAGCAAGAGAGGAAAGGCGATGCCACACCTTGACTTCTGAGCACATGAAGAAAAGAAGCTGAGATGCCACAGCAAAAAGCACTTTCTTTTGATTATCACAGTATTTCAATCTCTTACATTGTCTTCAGATAAGGGTGCTCTTGAGCTCCCTGGGGTGCCATAAAGTTATATGGCATCCTTACAAGGGGGCTCTCTTACCACTTGGGTGGAAAAACTTTAGCCTGGGTGCCTGTCTTGCACTGTTAGCCTATAGCTAACATGTCTCCAATATTGCCAAACTGGGGAGTGGTGTAGTGATGTAGCACAGAGAGATAGGCAGGCATCCAGGCTAGGGGGAGGTGGGGGGTGTCAACAAACGTGGGAGCAATCGGAGTCTAAACATGTGGGATGTTTTCTTAATAAACTTTTTACTTTTCTTTATGAAATAAATATGAAGACGTGAAACCAGTCAGTCGTGTGCATATTGCTGTTTCTTTATGTGTATGTGCAAATGTCAGACTCTTGTACAAAAACTCATGAGGCATGGATCATGCAGGGCCATGGAATAAATACACAATATAAACGATGTGTCTAAGCCGCGTGCAACCGGCCTGGATAAGAAATATTGCATTAAAAAATGATGTAATTCACACCCTTATATATGAATGCAGACTCAAAGTAATAGTCTTCATGCTGAAAAACCCTATGACTTCAAGTTTTTTTTAGATGTACAAACACATTCAGACATATTCAGTGTACTTTACTGAATTTGGCTAATATTAAACACATCACCATGCATATACATAAAGCTATACAAATACATATGTAAATTTACAACAAAAATGTAAAATAAATGAATTAATTATTCAAACTCAGTTCCTTATTATGAGTTGTGTCATCCTGACTCTATAAGGCAGCTTGCCTGCTAATGTTTGATTATGAACAGAATTGATAGAGTTGATTAATGGACAGAAATTTATTTTTCTACGATAGTAAATTCAAAACCTTTTAGACATTTTTTTTTACTATTTTATGAACCAAATGATTAACTGTTTAAAAAGTAATGTGGGAAATAATTGACAGATTACTGGATAATGCAACAGATCATTAGTTGCAGCCCTATACTGGGCATCATTCAGTGAAAATGAACAGCAACATCTGTCAGGATATCAAGACTCTTCAGGGGAAAGACACACACACTATGGAGCAGGATACAAAGACAGGGCTGAGGGTTTATCTTTTGTTACTGTAGCTAACAGGAGTTAGCTTCCTAGCTGGCAGTTGCTATAAGACTGCTAGAGGCTGGAGGAATATGATTGGCTGAAATTAGCGGGGGGCGGCGGTGATTGGTGACAATAACACCGTTATGAAAAGTGACAAAATATGAATTAAAAAGCAACAATGAAGAAAAAAAATACCACTTAGAAATAAAATATAATAATAGATGTTAGACAGAGAGGCATTTTAAGTAAAACTCTCATTAAATCCAATTACTATTACTTTCTATTAAATGCAACTATCATTAAATACACTTATAATTATCTCAGTATTTCTTGGATTTACTTGTACTTCTTTAATTCAACAGCAGCCTACAACAATGGCCATTTATAACCTAAAACCTCCGTCTGACTGATGTCTCTGGCTGGCGTCACCAGTCCTGCCACCCTTCCTCTGCCTGTCAAGCCTGTCACCTCCTGAGCCTTTATTGCTCTATTTCTCTCACCTCGTACTGCCATAAATCAGCCACCAGCGCTCCCTGGACGGCCTAATGTGTCTGAAATGTCTGTTAGGACAATTCAATTAATGCGCATTTTAACTTCATGTTATTCTAAGCATAGTGTAATTCAAAGGCCCTGACCCTGCCGTTTCCTCTGCTGTAAGCTGTAAGGTTGAGCTGGAATACACATCATACAAACTTTCATTAAAAATAATTAAGTATAAAGCACTGCAATGATTAATATTATTATCAACATTTTAGTTTAGTCTGTATTATTATAATGACACATATATTTATCAAGTTATGCATTTGACAGGTGACTTCTGACTCCCTTACTTCTGATGATTATTAATAATACAAATAAATAAAATATATCTATTTCGATAACGCTTGACAACCCACGTGATTTGTCCTTGAAAGTTTCGACGTTTAAGAGACATATAGCACCTATGCTGAAACACGCCCAGCCTGATAAACTACTATTGTTTGCAGGTTATTACCCCATTAAATTCGTTAAAGGAGCCTTCGCTAAAGGACAAATTATGAGGCATCCCAGATTGATTATTAATCGCTCTGTATTATTTCCTGAGGGGCTCTAGGTTTCAGTCATATTGCAGAATGAATGTGGGCGATATCTAATTATTAGGGATTATCCTCACCTACACCTCTCCACTATTGTGTGGAGGACCTCGCCCAGCCGTCCACCCATTGTCCGCCGCGCTGAGTGAATTGTTGTTTTAAGGGATTTTGAGTGGCTTAAAGGGGATTTGACAAGTGTAAGCGATTTAATTTAAAAAATAAAAATGTAATGTTAATCACTAACTCGGTAACTTCTCTCACATCAAATCACAGTGTAAGTATGTGACAGAAACTGGCAATGATGGTTGTTGATGATCGCAGTGATTATGGAGCCTAAATCAAGGAAGGTAATCAAGATAATGAATTAAATGTGATGGAGCCGTGATGGATCATCCCAGATTTCTATAATGACTATCAGTATAAGATTTAATCGATTTTTAGGCTTGGTCCACAACTCAAACCCATATATGGACATTTTTTGGGGGGGGCTATACAATATTCTAGCCTACAATATAAATGTCACCACATTAAAGCTCTCATATGTTTATATTCTTGTAAATTCCAGACTGTTTTCACACCAAGTTGTTTCCCAGGGAAACATGTATTATCCTATTATCACAACGATGCCAATGTCGCCGATGTGTGAGGTAGTATTTACATGACTATATACCATCAGCTCCTGAAAGACTTTATGGCTTTGTAGTCGCTGTCTTTCCCACTGGGACACTGGTGCCATTTCCCCACACGTTTCCAACTACACAAAAAGCCTCAGGCCGGCATCCAGCACTGCATTTCCCAATGCAGGACTGTAATTTAATAATTAGGAACCCTATTTTACGTCTTTTGGTGGAATCAAGTTGTGCTGTTTTATTAATGTTATGGTCGGAACTCTCCAAAATCCCCAATCACTATAATATTCATATAGAGGCTGATATGTGTCAAGTACTCAGTAGTAGTTTTACAATGGCCTTACTGCGCATAATGATGTTCACCTATTTGTCTCCTGGCATCATTTTAATATTCTCAACATTACTTATATATATTAATATTATATTATACATTTATAAACGTGAAATTAAATGATTCATACAGTTTTTTCCCGTTTGTAATATCTTCATATGGGATGATATATATTAAATTTGCTTCAATTCGTGGGAAGAGTGTATAGGGACTAAAGCCTGGGAACGACAGGTGAATGAATGAGGGGCTGTTTAACTGTCTGCGTCACTTCTTTGAAGTGCACTTATGCACCGACGGCTCCTATTTGTCTATAGGACTCGGCAATCAATGCCGTCGTTCATGCATTTTCACAGTGAAACGTTACCTGCAGGACAAATCTGTCAATCAAAGGGGGCAAGACCATATAAATATCATCAGCGTAGACTCTGGCTACAACTTCAGTTGCCTTCTTCTCTCTTGGCATTCACATCTGGGATACGAACAAAACCGGCCTCCCTGTGGAATACAGCAGTTATGGGACCTTTGAATTTCCTTCTAGCCGTTGTTCTGTCCACGTCCTATCATGATCAGTTTGCATCAGCTTGGTATGTCGCTTAATTTTGGGGGAAATCTTTTAAAACTTCTACAGTGTAATGTCTGATTTCTCGTGGTATAGGCACCTGGGATTAACGTGGCTGTCTTGTTTTCTTTCTACAGGACGGTGAATAATTTCCTCATGACTGGACCTAAGGTAAATACATTTTTGTCTCTATCTATCTGGGCACGTATAGTGCGTAAAACCTCTTTTGGGGTATCCAAATCAAATATATTAGCTGGTTTTGTAATGGACTTTGCAACCTTTACTTGCTGGCTAAATAGAATAGTGACTAACAATGCCCTTTTCTTTTCTCCCAAGGCTTTTCTGACATATGCAAGCAGTGTGCAAATGGGCGCACAAAGTGGAATACATGAGTGTAAACACCAGTTTGCGTGGGAGAGGTGGAACTGCCCAGAAAATACGCTCCAATTATCCACACACAATGGCCTTCGAAGTGGTAAGAAATCTAAAATAATATATGTGTGTATAGGTATGACATGCAGCAGTGGGGTGGTGTGGTAGTGAGTTAAATTCCAGCAACTGTCAACTTTACTGAAGCGCAAAGTTCATCTTCAACGCAAAGAGGACGAATGTGTGCCCTCTGGCTTCCATGGAGACGAGACAGAAACATAAACTTAAATTCCTTGCTGGAACCAAACTGATAAAACACCCAATATGCCCATGCAACATTGTTTCCCTTTAAATCTAATGCCTTTACGCACGGCTTACGTGCCTTTTACGCAGAGCATTGGATTGCAGCCACTGCGCATTTGTGGTACCATACTGGATTGCAAAGTATAACATTGTGGTTTACTTTCTTTGTCACTTATTATAGCCACAAGGGAGACGTCTTTTGTCCATGCCATCAGCGCGGCCGGAGTGATGTACACGCTTACCAAGAACTGTAGTATGGGAGACTTTGACAACTGCGGCTGCGATGACTCCAGAATTGGACAGACAGGTACATTTCTATTCTATTCTATGAGTGGCCTATTTACAATTAGACTGAACTGCGTGAGATGGACCTTTTATATTTCGAGTTAAATAACAATGTGCATTTTTGAATCCTCAGGTGGTAGAGGATGGATTTGGGGAGGCTGCAGTGATAATGTGGCGTTTGGAGAGAAGATCTCTAAACAGTTTGTGGACGCCCTCGAGGGTGGGCAGGATTCGCGCGCAGCAGTCAACCTGCACAACAACGAGGCGGGTAGACTGGTAAGATATGATTTCACTATTACTGGAGTTATAGTCAAGTTAGTTGTCACTATTTATGGGCTGTGGTCTCAAAATGAGACATCTAACAATAACCCAGGCCAGCGGAGGAAAAGAGGTGTTTTGGAGTCAAAAAAGCCGCGCAGGGTTTATGTTTGCATTTTCAATAACACTCTCACTATCTTGGCAGGCAATCAAAGCTACCATGAGGAGAGCCTGTAAGTGTCACGGAGTGTCTGGGAGCTGCACCATCCAAACCTGCTGGATGCAGCTAGCCGACTTCAGAGAAGTAGGCAACTACCTGAAGATGAAGCACGACCATGCGAAAAAACTGGAGATGGACAAGAAGCCTGCGAGGGCTGGGAACAGCGCAGACAACAGAGGAGCCATTGCGCACACCTTTCGGAGCATTGCCCGGACGGAACTCATTTACCTGGAGGATTCCCCTGATTACTGCCTCAAGAACCAGAGCCTGGGATTCCAGGGCACAGAAGGGCGGGAGTGTCTGAAGGGTGACAAGAATATGTCCCAGTGGGAGAGAAAGAGCTGCCGCAGGCTGTGCTATGAATGCGGCCTTCGAGTGGTGGAGAAGCGCATTGAGGTTGTCAGCAGCTGCAACTGCAAGTTTCACTGGTGCTGCACAGTGAAGTGTGACAAATGCACGCAAGTTGTTACTAAATATTACTGTGCACGTAAAGTAGGTGGAAGAAAACCACATAATAAAACGAAGCGCAGGCACCGTGCGCGCAATAACTAATTACCATTTGTTGCATTGAACCAGTATCATCATTATGGACTTTAATAGGTATAATTGTGTATGACAAGAATTCCATTTTCATATTTATCTATTATACACACACATTTTAATGCACTTTAGCTCACTGATTTGATTCTGTATATACATCAATTTAGGTCTTTTGAGGACCAAGCTCTCTACGCATGCTCATTCGTTTATGTTGGTGTTTAGGGGATAATTGGTCGTATTTGTTGGGTTTGTCTTCTGTGAAGTCTGAAATTTGTCTAATATTTTATATGATGTATTTTAATTGAAAATGTCACCTAATAAATATTTTTCTACGATATGGATGGCTCGATCTGATCTGTCAGTTGCACATGATTGCTTTATTTGTATATTGGTACCCTGGTGTAACAGCCTTGGGGAAGAAAATCAAACTGTCACCTAATGCCATCCTTTGATGTGCGCATATAGGCGTTTCCTGGACCCGTCAACCAATCAGGTTTCTCGGACCTCGGGGACAAAGAACAAGAGTTCCATCTGTTCTTCACTCAAATAAAAGAGAAAGTTGCAGCACACAGGGTCAAACTAACTAGATCTGCATTTTGAGGCTAACACTGTAGATGAAAATGATGCATTCATTGTTTTGGCTCCTGCCTCTTTTATACAAAATGTGTCCGGGACATGCATGGTAAGAGACTATCTATACTGTCTATGTCTTTTCTGTATGTGAACACTTAAGAGAGAAATTGATCTCATTCTCCTCTACTTTCCTCTCAGGGTGGCAAGTAACTTTCTTATGACGGGACCCAAGGTAAATAGTAAATACTTGATTGAATCACTCAGAGAAGTTAAGTTAATGTGAATAAGGTCAAAAAATAAATTGCCTCTTCCTGCAGGCCTACCTCACCCATGCAAGAAGCGTGCAGGTGGGCGCACAAAGTGGGATAGAGGAGTGCAAACACCAGTTTGCGTGGGACAGATGGAACTGTCCCGAAAGTGCAACTCAGCTCAAAGGACTCAAACGCGGTAGGTTGAGATCGTAAACAGACTAAAGTTATTTCATTTTGTTCTGTATGCAGGTCCAAAAATGCTGAAGAAAAAACTAATGTATGCGTAAAATGTGTAAATATCGTACTACTGTTTCCATACAATAACACAGGACATCATGCACCAAAATGGAAACACAAAAAAATATGTATATGGGTCTACAAATGAATAGGAATGTAGGCCTATTAGTTACATATTTATGTTACGTTTTCCTGTTGCATAGTCAGATCTATGCCCATTAGTTTTTATTATTATTATTGTTTGAAAATGCATATACGCTATAAAACGTGATTGCCCATTTCCTCCCACTGACAGCCACCAGAGAGACTTCTTTCGTGCACGCCATCAGTTCAGCGGGAGTCATGTACACTCTGACCAGGAATTGTAGTCTGGGAGACCTTGACAACTGCGGCTGTGATGTCTCCAAGAACGGAAATATTGGTGAGGTTCTCAGCAAAAAACATTCTGAATAAGAATATTGTGGCATGTTGTGGACGTAAACCGTATGTCTATCTATAAGCATTAAATATTTACTTTGTTTTTTAGGGTTAAAGTTTGTGATCTGATTTTAAATGACATGTTGTGTGCAGGCGGCCGTGGCTGGTTGTGGGGTGGCTGCAGTGAGAACGTGGATTTCGGGGAGAGGATTTCCAAACAATACGTGGATGCGCAGGAGACGGGTCAGGACTCCAGGGCTGCTGTCAACCTGCATAATAACGCAGCTGGTCGTCTGGTAAGTTATGTTCACATTACACGCATTTATCTGATATTACATACTTTAAGTCGCTGGCAGTAATGAACTTTCCCCGCATGGTTTCCAACAGGCTGTAAAGGCAACGATGAGGCGCATCTGTAGATGCCATGGCATGTCTGAGAGCTGCAGTGTCCAAACCTGCTGGACTCAGCTGTCAGATTTCAGAGAAATCGGCAACTACTTGAAGATCAAGCACAGTCAAGCCCAAAAACTGGACATCGACAAAAAGCGCCTGCGGGCTGGCAACAGCGCGGACAACAGAGGTGCCATCGTGGATGCGTTCGGCAGCATCGCGCCGACAGAGCTCATCTACCTGGAGGACTCCCCGGACTACTGCAGGAGGAACACCAGCTTAGGGCTGTACGGCACTGAAGGCCGGGAGTGTGTGCAGCACGGAGAGGGTTTAACCCAGTGGGAGAGGCGCAGCTGCCGTAGGTTGTGCCACGAATGCGGCCTGAAGGTGGAAGAGAGACGCACGGAGGTAGTGAGCAGCTGCAACTGCAAATTCCACTGGTGCTGCACAGTGAACTGCGACGACTGCTCTCAGGTTATAGTGAAACATGTTTGCGCCAGGAGGGAAGGTGCTGATGGAAACGGCTTTAGACGGAGATACCGGGGACCTAAATGAAAAACAAACTTTATAAGACTTGGTATGGTTACCTGTCACAATCAAGTCTGTTAAATAAGATGTTAAATGTCTGTTTGCACTTTTTATTCCTTTTAATGTCTTTTCACTCCTCCTTGTATAAATACTTGAGTGTCTATTTATGAATATTGTTTTAATTAAAATAAAAGTTAAAAAATAAAATACTTGTCTTCATTTCAGTCAATAACTACTAAACATTTGATTATTTGACCTAATAAAGGCTTTTTGGATTTTATAAAAAAGGCACACAAGTGACCATTAGAATAAGAATGGACTGAATACGCTTAACAGAGGATTACATGGATAACATGGTGCAGTTCGCACCTAGCCAAGGTGTTGATCCGGCGTTGATCCACTTTGATGTCAACGTGTATTGATTTCATTCAAAGAGCAGCGAGGCTTTGAAAGACAAATTGGGAAGTATTTCCACCGCTACAAGTTAGATATTTGGCCTGATAATCCGGAGCACCGCAGCTATCCCACTCTTTGTCACATCCCACAGGCAATGCAAATGCTCCATAATACATCAAAGCCTGTGAGGGGAAACAGAGTAGCTGACATTTTGGCCAAACTTCGAGTTACTGTTTCTCGGCAAACTGGGTCACACTGGGGTCCAGATATTACAATGTAATTCCAGTGAGGATTTCAGGAGAGAGAGGACTCACATTCCTCCTTTGCGAGTTAATTTCTAATCTTATAATTTGCAAGTAATTAGGTCTAAGAGGAGCCTTGTCTCCGCCCACTGGCCTATCTGTGTCTTAAGAGCCATTCATTTGCCTCCTTCATCCCTCTACCCCCTGTATCTCCAAAAATCTTCCTCTCAGCTGGACGTGTCATAAATCTGCCACTGTCTCAGCTAAGTGAGTGATGGCATGGATACTACCTACACAAGGGGGTCTGTGCCTGGGGGTGAAGGGGTGGGAGTCTATCAGAAAGGGGGGCTGGAAACAAGGCTGTTTTACTATCTTTACACACCAGTTATTAAGCTATAGAGGCAGTAAATAACAAGATGAAGTGAGAAATTACAGCATGGGTTATCATAACATTATACAGTATCAACTGGTGTCACTTTGGATGCCAGATCGCTGGCATCATTATAGTCAGTGGAGTCCACTTTTTCCATTTAACAGTGCTTGTTGTTTAAAATTTGACATATTAGCTCACAGCTACTGATTAATGAAGGCATCTGAACTGTATTAGAAACACTTAAACACACACACACACACACACAACTGGGTAAATGTACTTTTGACAACAAAATTATCTTCTGGAAGAGGAAATGTTTCACAGCAAAGCTGAGAAACTACCACTACACTCAGAGTAACACTATCCTCCCACGACCAAAACACTAAACCTCCCCACTTCCCATTTGTCTGTTTGCTTCTGGGGATGTCCTGTATTTCCCATGCTGCCCTGCTGTGTGTTAATGAAGGTTTTGCCCCACTGGAAGCCATCACCGATCCACCCCTTATCTCTGCTATCCACTGAGTACATTATCGGCTCCATATTGGTCCCAAACGATGTTGTTGTTGTTGTTTGGTTGGGCCAAATGACCACATCTGTTCTTCCATTTGTGTCGGCTGATAAACCCTCTTTTTCCTAAAAAGTGTCATTTCTGTGGAGGGTGTCACTTATATATCCTGCAACAGTATTTCATGCTTCCTACACAGTGGCAGTATCATGCCTTTCCTGGGGGGGGGGGACAGAGAGGGGAGGGGGTGATCTCCCACAAGGACCCCCCAGGAGGACTCATGTATTCACCCAGACATGCCTGGGGGTCTAGGGGGATCTGAGTGTGATTGATCATCCCTTCTCTTTGCTGCCCTCCTCTCTCACCTGGGTGTGAGATACCAAAAGGCCTGACACAGGAAAGGCTGCGGCTCCTCCAACAATGCTATGTTATGAATTGGAATCAAATGACACAATATGACTCCAAAAAAATATGCAGCGATATCAATCTGTGCATGTAAATAATTAGGCATTAGGTCTCGAGCAACACATTCCACATCAAAATTGTTTAAGAAATCTCCATCTCAAAAATCAGGCACATAAGTTAGAACAAACTTAAATAATAAGCACGGCATGTAGCTACATGCCTGTGGTAGCATACGCAGGTGAGTGACAGGAAATGAACAGCTTCTATGTTTAGAGATGAGATATACTTTGCAGTGCGTGCGTGTATTAATATCATGTCTCAAGTCCTTTACAACCACTGAAACGACAAACAGACGACAAACCACATGTATGCCTATTTAAAGGTCAGTGAGGTCATTCTAAACTTTCATTTTAGAAGGTATGTTGAAGACTTTGAGAGCAAAACAAAAAGGTCTTGCTGTCAGTAAACCCTTCATTTTTCGGGCGGATGTGATACTTAAAAGAGACAAGCATGAGTTCAAACAATGTTCCTTCTAAAATGGAGGTGATGGGATGGAATCCCCGAAGTCTAGCTGACTACATGAGGAGGGTGAGTATCAAAAGAGTTGCCTGAGGTTGAAATAAAACATTTTTATATCTTCTGTAGCTGCAAGTACCTTACTGAAGTATATTTTTTTCTGCTAAGTTAATTTTAAACTTGATGTAATATTGCTTGAGTAATGGTCAAAAAGTCAATGTTTACCCACTTCGACAACATTTGTTGTCTTGTGTAATTCTTGGTCACATTTTGATGCAGTATATTTCCAAACACAAAATTTAAATAGGTGGAACGTGATGACCGAGCTACTTCGTTATTTTCATACAATTATGTAACTTCAAACATACAGTAAAAATGTTCCCGCACTAAAAGTGTTTGACATCTTCTCAGCTTAAGTTATCAGGCAGTGACAGAGTAGTGATGAAGGGCAGCATAACTGGAGCACAGTTCATGGTAAGAATGTCTAACTACTTTTACACTTATTTATTATTCTGGAATACACATTTTTAGCAATTTATTTTCTATTTCTTATTCAAATCTACACCATCCAGCAAATGACGGAGTGTGACCTTCAAGTGTTCCCCAGCCTTTTTGTCCCGTGAGTCTGACTGAAATATTTTCCAGCCAAAATACAGTTAAACAATCCATTAACAAATGTCTGTTAAGGCATAAAAACTCACTGTGGCCATGTACAGTAATATGTATGACACGACATAAGAGATTATATCTTCTCTGACATTGCATAATCTGCATTAGGCTGTAGAAGGTTGTGGTGGTTTGGGCCACAAGTAGCTGTGCAGAGTAATATTGTAATACTGAACATATATATGTAATATTTTGCTAAAGTTTTGGTTTTATATCTTTATAGAATAATTACAAAGATCCAAAATGAAATCAACATGGGGGAGCAGAAGAAGGCCTTTGGTAATAAGTAAGCAAACAGATTTTTATTACAGACTTTCTACTGTGTGTTACTGTTACTAAATACTGCTTAACTTTTTATATTTATCTTTCGCAGATCAAAAGTACAAAAGCATCCAAAGCAAGGTAAAGGACACTTGGGTTTCATTATGCCACTGATAAATGAAGCTTAGGTCTGATATTATTCTTTTTTATTTGTTTACAGTATTTGTACAAGAGGAGGAAGATTGGAACTCAGATGAGTTTGTAAGTAAAAAGTTATTGTTTTATAAATGCGACCCCAGACAGATACATACCTCAGGGTCAAAGTAAACTGTTAATATCAAGTGACAACTTAACTACTTAGTATGTAGCATATAACAGAATAGTTGAACTACTTGTGTCATTTCTGGTCTGTGCTCAGGACAGTGACAGTGATCATGACTATGAGGGGCCACATCAGGAGGAAGGGGAAGGCAGCTACATCTGTGCTCTGACTGAGGAACAAGACAGTGACGAAACCAGTGAAGAGAACTACAGGAAGCCTTTCACTGCAGACATAGTGAAGCCACCTCGACACCTAAAGGTGGCTCAACCTCCGGACGGTCACCACAGAGGTAACAGAAAGCAACCCAGAGAAAACATATCAGTGGATCTGCTACTTTGGTGAATTGGTGTTCATGTTATAAATATGTACATGTATGCGGGTAGATCCTGTCCATGCTCCATCCCCTGTTGAACGGATCTTAAAACCTCCAAATCCACCAAGACTGAACCATATTGGTCCGAGACCTTTCAAAGCACCAGGTGACTGTACATTTAATGACTCCATAACCACCTGATTTATTGATGATGATGTTGACAATCTAAACCTTGTGTAAAATGTGTTTTCCTGTTCCTGACACCAGCCAATCTACCCAATCTGCAAATTGACAGGAGCAAGAAGCCTGGACAACCTGGTCCATCTCAGAAAGACATCAGAAAACCAAGTATGTGCCGGTTATTATGTTGTGTTTGTAACAGCAAAATGTTGTAATCACACGTTTTTCTATTCTATTTCACACTACCCTTCATGTCCACAAGAGGGCGGCACTATCAAGGCTCTAGGCTCATTCAGCACCAAGCTCGCTAAACCGAGAACCCCCAAACCTCCAGATGTGTCCAGCAGGTAGGCCAACCTGAATAATTTGAGTCTAGCCAGGCCCTTCACTCTCGGAAATCTAATTAGTAAAGTGTTATTGTCTTAATTATTACATAATTATATATAATTGTCTTCCATGTCATCTGCCAGACCAACTCCTCCAGTGCCAACAGCACCTGCTATACCAGGACCAAGAAAGGTGATAATCAAAAGTGGAATCATGATTTAGTCATATACTGTTGTGAACAGACATGATATTAATGGTGAGCTTTTCTGTGCAATTACACACTTTTGAGTACTTTCGAAAAAGAAACAGCAGATGGCGATGTTGTAAAAAGAACACAAATAAAACATACTTCAGTCGATGCAAAAGGTAAATGAGAGTTTATTTAGTCCTTACTATGACTGTTTTATTATGATGCATCCAGGGTTTGGATCCCAGCTGGTACGGAGGAAGGTTGACCAGATATGAAGCTGACATGGCCCTCAGAGAGGTGAACAAGGTCAGGTGCTGCCTCTCATGGTCATATCTGACTCTCCTCTTCCTGGAACAGAGACACACACACACACACACACACACACACACACACACACACAACACACACACACACAAACAGGCAGATGAAATCACACAGGATTTTATTTTCAATATTATATATTAAACTGTGTATGTATATTTGTCCACATTTTGTGTCTTTAGGATGGGACATTCTTGGTGAGGGACAGCTCAAAAGGCTCAGAAGAACACCCCTACACCCTGATGCTGCTGGAACAAGGCAAGGTTTACAACATTAAGATCCGTAACCAAGGCAACTCTTACTCCCTCGGCAATGGCCTCAACAACAAGGTAAACTGAAAATGATGATACCATTATCTACCATGTTAAAATGAGTAGAAAAAGTAAAGTGAAAAGTTCCCATCTTGCAGCACGCCTTGGGGAGCATTTGTTGCTGACTTATGCTGCACTGCGTCATTAGGTCCCTGTCATCTTTTTTGTATGCTGCTGTGCTGTAGAGTTTCCCTGGAGTGAAGGAGATGATTACCCATCACACACACACCCCGTTGCTGCTCATTGATGCCACAGACCCGAGCTCTGAAGCGCAGAGCCAGTGTTGCCTGCTGCACCCTGCGGGACTCTGACCAGCACCAACACCAAGCTTAATGTGGGTGTTTGCTAATTTGTGTGCATGGATACATGTGGCTTGTTTGGAGGCCTGTTAGGAACATCCGAACAAATGTCACAGTTTTCCCAATCACAAAGGTCATTGTTATGCAATTCCTGTTTTTAGTAACTTGTACTTTTAGTAAACAGAATTAGAGAATAAGGATGATTTTTACTTGGCAGACGGTTGTATATTTGATTAAACTATGTTTTCCAGACACAGCATTACCTCTGTTCTTCACGCCTCAGGTCGTGCAGGAGGCTGCTGCTTCGGTGCCTCTTGGACTTTCAGAGACGCCAACTTGTCAGGGTGGCCAACATAAACGATCAGATCACATTGTCTCAGCTGGGTTCGCACTGCAGGCAGAACACAAATACCTTGTTTTTAACAAAACAGCCTCAAGTCAACACGTTTCTTTGATGTATAAAAGTCACATTGCAGAACATGTAAGGATACACACCAAGGACGATAGTACTTAACAGTTACTTAAATTCCTATCTATTTGGCCTTGTTATTAGAAAACAATACTTGTACTCACTGTGTTACTAGACATATTACACTATTGTCCAAATATAAAAAACTAAATGACAGAGTATTAAATACTTGGGAATATAATTTTCTTGGCAAGAGCTCTCTCAAGTCTTAAGTTGGACTTGTCATCTGTTCAAGCATGTCTTATTATTTCTTGTTAGTATAAAATGGTAAAGTAGGTTAATTTCTTATATACTACATGCCAAAACATTATAGTATTAAAAAAAAGGGGGACACAGCATCAACTTTCACAGCATCGCAAATCCTCCCACTTACAACGTTTAGTATATAACAAACCTCTGGTGTTTGTTTCCAGGCTTTGAGCTATTAAAGTAAGGAGATAGATATAATCAAGTAAGACAACCCAGCAGACAGATTTGACTGCCTTTTTGCCCGCAACTGTCCCCTCTGGCAAAAAAGAAGTTGCAACATCATATCTCACATCAAATGGTCTGAAGGACAACCATGTGTGTAAAATCCTTCAGTTACTCCTATCTGCCCATCAGCAGAGTGTGATCTGACAGACATCATGTAGCATCATGTACCGTAACTCTGCACCACTGACAACTACAAGCAAGGCTAAGCTGCGCAGCAGTTGGTGTAAAATAATCCACTTTTGGCTATCACATTGTAGATCTAGTATAACAGTTACATCACGTGCTTTGCATATTTGCAAATCGATCAAGTTTAAGTTACTGGTATAGTTGATGCTTACTGACATTTTGACGGTGTCAAGGGAGTGGGATGGGGATAAACAGTCATACATACATGCCAGTTGATCCATGCAGTTAGACAAGGAGTCCAGCCCTCTCAGTATGTTTTCCACATCAATGTAGGCAGTTGGGGTAGCTTGTTCTGTGTTTTCCATCTGGAAAAGAACAGAACAGGCTAAGTCAACAACAACAAACAACAAACTGGAATGCAATTATCAATGCTGGTGTAACATTCAAATGAAAATCTGAACATATAATTACATTAGAACAATAAACAATGAATTGCAATACATGTAAGTCAGTGTCTATAAAAAAAAAAACAACAGAAAACATTCTCATTTTAAACATTTTATTATTTAATTCAACAGGTTAAACAAATCAGACCAACACTTCAGTGCTGACAAAACAAACACAATGCAGGCCATGTTAACGTCAACAACAATCAACAAGTCTACACATTACTCAATGAAACATACTGTTTTAATGCAGAGAGAGCAGAAGAAATTCCTCCCCTATATGATAACTAGTCCAACACAAATACAGTTTAATTTCATACTGCTTTAACACACGTTTCCTCTTATGAACTGACAATAACATCACATCTGAGTGAGTGTTGTGGCAGCAGGATCGTGACATTTGCTCCTCCTTGGCTCCTGGTCTTGGTCTCCACAGACAACAGCTCTGCATCGGCGATAAGCTTCTTCCAGTTTCCGCATAGAGGCCCCCAGCTCGGGGCTGGTGCGCAGTGCCACCATGTCATAAGCCATCCAAGTCAGCTGCACTACAGGTGGACGGAAAATATGACGATGAAAATGCAGCCAAATTAGAAAAAAAAAACAGCAGTCTTAACACCGTGCTATAAAATGAAGCTAACATAATTTACCTGATATATTTTCAACGTTTTCAATTATTCTTTCCAAGTCCTTGTTCAGCTCCAACTCGTCGTCGTTGCTGTTCCGCGGAAGCTCTGGGTACGAAGGTGAACCGGCCATCTAACAATTAAAAACCGGCCTTTTATGAGCTGTCTTGTTACTCACAGAAACACCTCCGATAAAAGCTAACTCAAGCTAACGCCAGCTAGCCGTTCCTGCCGTTAACTTGTTAGGTCCTGCGGTTTTACCGTTGGCATGGTAACATTAGTTTCTGATAAAAAATTAGGATTCTAATTAATAACAGTTTGTGAAGAGGAACAACAGTACTTACTAATACACTGTTTTAATCGATAGTCTATACAATTACGAGGTATTATCTATAATTAAAACAGTGCAATACTTACCATATAAAGTTTGTCTTCACTAACGTTATGTTAATTTGAAATAGAAAGTTCTCGCGCTAATTTCAGGGATTTAAAAAATGACGCAATGCGCAAAAGAGATTATGTAAATTTATTTTTTTACGATTTTCAGGTAAATTTCCACCATTATTTCTTAAATTATTTGTGTATTAACCTGTTATTGTCTGGAGGCAAGGTACACTGTGTTGGCAAAAATTTGGAACTTTATAATAAAAAAGTATAATTTGAGTAATTTTACATATAACGTTAGATCAATATATAATAACAATAGGCTAAATCCCCTATAGTTACAGAGGCTACATTTCAATTGGCTAAATAATATCAAAATACGATATATTCAGAATTAGTAATACTTCTGCTAAACCCGGTTTAAATTTAAACATTCATTAATTCAATACATATTATTGCTTTGTTCATCATAATTCTTCTTCTTTATTAAGCGTGGCCCAAGCTTTACAGAAAACTTAATTAATGTAAAAAAAAAAAAAATGCATGTCATGAAATGTTAATGTACCATTAAATATTATAACTGTTCATAGCGATTAAATAAGAAAACATTAGCTAAGGTATTCACAAAATTGTCTCTCTTGTTACTGTATAAGAAGTCAGTCTTCACAACAACTAACCTGTCCAGGTGAGTAGCATGCAGGGGGAGGGGGGGATAAAAACTACATTTAAAAAACTAAAAACTGAATTATTTCAATCTGTTTTAATTTGCATCATAATCATCAAAAAATTACAGAGGACTGAACTGAGTTTATGTTGGAATAATCACTTGAGTGGAAAATTATTTAATTGAGGGTGAACAAAACCCCCTCAAGGAACTGAACTAGCTGACAGCAGGAAAAAAAACCAGAGAAAGCAGGAACAGACAATTCACCTGCGAAAACAACCAATCAAACAAGACAGGGGGCGTTTCAAGTGAAACAGATAAAGCAGGTATGACAGGTGACATCTTGACATTAAGCAAGGGCAAACAGACAAGAAAGGGGTGGAGAAGAGTAGCCTACAACTTTGAAGCCATCATTTGGATCAGCTCACATTCAAATACTTGCAAAGGTCTGAGCAAGAAAAGGACTTTTAGTGGCAACATCCCTACGAAAAGAGTTTGGCATAGAAAGGTAGGACAACTAAAGGGTTGAGAAGAGACTCTGTGAGGTGTGAAGAAATTTTACAATGTCTTCATTTGAGGCCCAGGGCCAGTCTCCTCCTCGGTGTGGCCCACAGTTCCCGAGCCTCGGCCAGGAGCCCCCTGAGCTCAGCATGTACAGTGACTGTTACTACCCTCCTCCCTCACTGCCGAGTCCTCAGCGCACTACGCCGACCTCCTACGACCTGAGCGACTACACCACCTCCTCTTCAAACCCTTACCTCTGGTTCAACGGCTCCGGCATCAACACACCGCCGTACCTGGCTACTACCGGTCCGCCTGGCAACCCCGGCCCTCCTTTCGTCCCTCAGCACTACGGCATGCAGAGGCCTTACCTGGGTCCTGCTGGAGCTGGGGGTCCAGGAGGAGAGCTGAGCTGGTTCTCTCTACCCTCACAAGAAGACCTGATGAAGCTGGTCAGGCCACCTTACTCCTACTCCGCTCTCATTGCCATGGCTATCCACGGAGCGCCAGACAGGAGACTGACCTTGAGTCAGATTTACCAGTACGTCGCTGACAATTTCCCTTTCTACAACAAGAGTAAAGCAGGCTGGCAGAATTCAATCAGACACAACCTTTCACTCAACGACTGCTTCAAAAAAGTACCAAGAGATGAGGATGATCCAGGTAATATTTGTATCTTATTTTACTTATTTATTTTGCTTTGAATATCTCTCTCTCTAAGACTAATATGATCAATTAAATTCATTTCTATTTACAGTTTTATTATATTGCTTACTTATTGAATCAATATGCTGTTGTGTTTTCTGTCATTCTTAAAACTTTAATTGAAACTCATCAACTCTATGTGCTTACAGGCAAGGGCAACTACTGGACACTTGACCCAAACTGTGAAAAGATGTTTGACAACGGAAACTTCCGCCGGAAAAGAAAGAGAAAGTCTGATCACCTCACCGGTGGTGATGGCGGCTCAGGGGCTCCAGAGTCAGGTGACAGCGAGAGGGGCAGCCCCAAACACTCTGGCAACACTGACCTTAACATCTCCCCCACAGCGGACAGGATCCCCTCCCCTTCATCGTCAGGTCCCGCACCTTGTCTAAGCAGCTTCTTATCCGAGATGTCTGGTGTGACTGCCGGAGCAGCCGGTGAGGTGGGAGGCGATGGGTTAAGCAGGCCCCTGCATATCAACCTTCCTTTAGATGGGCCTCATAGACCCACTCAACCCGGAAGCTTTAGTAGCTACTCCCCCAACTCAGGTGGCCCAGAGTGGGTACCGCAAGTGCCTGGTCCCCCTGTGCTCTCTTCATCACCCACCCACTCTTCCCTAGGCTACACTAGCCCCATCCTCAGCCAGTACAGTGGGTCTAGTGGGCATTTCTACCCCACACTGGGCTCGACAGGAATCATCTATCATCGTGAGGGCACAGAGGTTTAGTAAGACATTAAGATGGGAAAGATTTGGTTTGAAAAGACTCTTGGCAGGAAATTTTACATGTCTGATCTCTTTTGTTGTAGAGAGGTTCTGTTGTGAAAGACAATACACGCATACACATACACACAAAGTATGTTTGCGCTGACTGAGACGGTTGAGATCACTATAGCGTGACAGCAGAGTAAGAAGGCTTTGATTCCCACAGGAACAGCTGAGTCAGCTGCAAAGAGCTACGAGTGTGACTCCATGAAACCACAGTCAGCCTCATTATCAGATCCTCAGTCAGCTTTTATTCTAACTAAAGCTAGTCTCTATCAGATCTGACTCATTATTAACAGATCCTAGATCTGATCTGCTGACATCAGGCCATTCCACACCACGCTATCTGTGATTCTTTGATGGTATCACCCATACAGCGCTCAGACAGCACATTTAGAGGAGTAGTTAAATTACGCCATTGTCTACATAGTGTGTGTGTAGACACAGCTCTAAAAGAATCAACAAAAGATAAAAGGTAGACTTTCTGCCTTTTTCATAGAATTAAAACTAAACAATCTGATGAACTTACAGTCTTGGAGTCTGATACTCAAGTGATAATTGTACTTTGTAAATATGTCAATGTGTTGTGTAATGTTATACATTTATATTGTTGGTTTGTTGGCTGTTATTGTGCAAAGTGGGTTTCTAATGTATGGTATATATTATGTATGTTGTGTTTTTGATATGAATAAAAGGTTTTAGAGTTCTAAAATTGCATTTGAGTTTATTTTTATGAAGAATAATGAATAGCTGTTACTCAGGAGCAATAAGGAGGCTATATGATTTCTCTCAGACAATCCTCCCATCCCCCCAGAGAAAAACAGAAAGAGAAAGAAAGACAATAAGTTCTCACTGACAGTTCTGAAAAACGATGACCAGTAGGGTAGGACCTGCATGTTGGTGTAACCTTATCTCTGTGTGATGGATAGTTAACTGCTTCTCCTAAACGGTGAAAATCCACATTCCCATGCTCTCCACTACACCAGACACTGGATCCCTCTCTGTCACACCAGCCACACACAGATACTGCTGACTGGATGCAAGCAGCTTAATTACAGGAGGGGGGCCAACTGTAAAAATCAGTAAAAGATGCTGATGTGTGAACTGCTAGTTCTACCTAACTGCTAGATAAACACAGTCACTCAACACAGTTTACGACATGCCAATTCATAATTGTTGACTGTTAGGATGAATTTCACCACTACTATCAGAAGTTATTCAATTGCACAGACAGTGGAGAGTCTTTAAGCTAACTAAGAACATTCTGGACAAGCAATATATGGCTGTGTTAAGTCAAAATAAAGCTTTATTGCCATATTCACGGAGAAACAGGTTTGCACAGAACAAAGAAAGTCATAGTTTGCTTTCTAGTGTGACTGCCATCATAAAAAAGGTACTTAAAAGGGAATTTTTATACAGGTATATGCATTCATAAAGTTAGCATAAATATAAAGATTACAAAACAGTTATGTCAGATGTGGAACAGAACATTTATACAATAAGTCAGATGCACTGCAGTAACAATAATCTGTAGGTTATGATGTATCCATGACACTAATAATATATTGCTGTTTGTTGTATGTCTTGATACAGCAATTACAGTCCATACAGCGACATGAGATCATAGATCATATTTCCTTTTCAAACACATGGAACACATTATTCAGTGTTCAGTCCAGTCCATGATTCCCCCGCTAAACTGCATATATGAGCTTTATTTAATAATTTCTTAAATTATCCAATTAGTAATTAGATATTTTCTACTTTGCTTAAAAGTTAAAAGGTGGTTAATAGAATTGTATCATTTTACAAGGCTTTTATTCTGTCCTGCACCCATTTTATTTAAATAAACATAAACTCTTTGATCGATGGTAGCCTCAGGCCTTTATTTACCCTGAAACAGAGGCAGCATGACAGTCATTTACACTAAACACAAAAGGAAAGAAAAAAAGAACGCACACTTGAAACCAAGATCAAGTGGAATTTAACATCCTGGCACAATTGAAAAAGTGTATTAGTGGTTGAAGGTTAGGGGGTCAACCTGTCAAAATTTGCATAACTGATTCAAAACAAGTGATGAGGTTGCATTTGGATCATAAAGTCCTGCTTTATTAATTGTGTCAGACTTGCAAGCCTATCTGATTTAACTGTGTGAAAAATCCTGCCTCATGTTGCACCATGAACCTCAGAACTTATCCATGAAACATGACTGTGCCAAATCCATATGCAAATAGATCATCTTTTATATAAATATATATACAGAGTGGATGAGGATCTTATAAAAAAAAAGTCAGAGAGAAAGAAGTGGGAGATAAGCAGAGAAGAGGGGAGACAAAAGAGAAAAGTACAGTAAGTATAAGAAGTCTCACCGTCCCAACATGTTATGTTTACATCCCAAATTGTCTTGGCACTTTGAATAGTTTGTTCAGCCAATTAGTTTTCTTTTTTTCCTCCATGTCTTGTTCAGACTTTGAGCTGACAGGTGAAAGATGTGGTATCAAGAATAAGGGTGGCCCTTTGCCTTGTCGATCTAGCATGAGCTCTTGTTGAGTGTATCTGCCAACAGAAACATTATAGGGCTTTCGTCTCGGAGACTTCATTAACAGTAGACATCACCTTCTGCTGTCTTATTCAGACAGTTTCAAATTGATGCAAATTTACAGCCGTTAATCACACTGGTGGATGGGGATGACAAGGTCAGAGAGAGAATGCGGTGTTCTAGATGGAGCTTCTCAGATAAGAAACGGTAAAACCTGAGGGATTTACTGTACCTTACGACTCCCTGAAACCAAAGTCAATATGCTTTTATTGAAACTCAAAACACAATACACATTTTGATATTTTGGAACTTCCCCTGTCTGTTTCTTGTATTTGTATTGAATATATTGCTTTTTTGGACAGTTTGCTCATCCACAGATATTACACTTATCTGTTTTGTTTATTTCACTTTTTGGAGAATAACAATGAAACCTTCATAAAACTCTCTGTTTGATTTTATGATTCCTTTATCTGATAGTGCTTTCAGTTTCAAAATTAAGCAGCAATGTATATTGGACTCCAAGCTATTATAAATTGTGTTATTATACATTTTAGACCACACTTGTTTCTGCATGATTCAGGGATACCCACCACAGCATCCATCAATCACCTGTTACTGTATCTATGGACCTTCCTTGCCTTAGGCAGTAGAATTATTGCTCAACAGAGTGATACGATTAAAATCTATAAATCCTCATCTCCACCTGGCTCGTGTCTTCCACACACCTGTCGAAATAACGGAACGCACCCACACACCCTCACACTGTCTGTGTGTGTGTGTGTGTGTGTGTGTGTGTGTGTGTGTGTGTGTGTGTGTGTGTGTGTGTGTGTGTGTGTGTGTGCAGGGCAGGGCATAGGAGTAAGCAGTGTTTATAATATAAACTCAGACAGAGAACGATTACGCCAGAGCTGCTATGCATGAGAGATTTGTGTTTGTACGAACAGTTCTGATTATAGCAACGTAAAACAGATTTCACACATCCCTCTGTAGCAGATAAATAGTTTGTAAAGTCTGACAGGTAGTAAATCTGCTTTATTCCTCCTGAAGTGAGGAGGTGCACCACTTCACTTTGGATAACTGCTAACTGAACGGAAAGCTAACTGTCCTGGTACCAAACACTAACACACACCTACACACACACACACACACACACACACAACTTCTGTATTTACTAAAACAGTCGTGTCCTATCAAGGCTGTTTAGTAAACGGTAGCAGAGAACGTCAAGCCTGGAGACATGCTGTCATGCCCAGTGCTCCAGCTCTGCATTACCAGCTTGCTGTTTTGTGTAAACACCCACACACACTCCAGACACACGCATACAGGTGACGAAAGGAATGAAATATCTTGCCCTTCGTCTGGAAGTCATTGAACAACCTTTCTTCTGTGTGCCTTTTAGAGGTCAATGGAAAACTCTAGAATTAGTACAATTTCTAAGACCACAGCTTATACAATAGTGCTGCTGGCAGACCTTTGACAGACAAAATGCTCTTACTTTCAAAATTCTTAAAAATGTAAAATGACAATTGTGCTATTGAATGCCAGAAATCCTAATAACACTGCTTAAGAATGTAACTCTTGACAGTGCCTAAATTTTAGACTCAGACACCCGCTAAGTTGCCATCACCATTCTCCAACAATCTTAGTCCGTGAAAAAAGTTGACATTAAATCCCATTAAAGTGCTCAGTGAAAAAGTATTAAAAACGCAGCAGCTCCGTCTTTGTAAAACAGCATCCCAGTGTCTCAGACTCCAGAGGATAAGGCAGCGAGTGATCTCTCCTTCCTAAACATGGCTTATATACACGATTTGGGGAAAAGTGAAGTTTAAAGACAAACACAGAGAGCAGTGAGAGTGTGTGTATATATGAATCATTGCTATTTCACCCTAAAATATTTTCCATGTCAACATGCAGTAAACATGGCGATATGAACAGGGCTTTGCAGTGAGGGAGGGAGAAGGGGGGAATAAAGTGTATACGTCTTACTGGATACCTGCTGAACTGAACGGGGATCTAAGAAATTGAAAGCCTTTTGTAATGTAATCCTTTTGTCCGTTTTTTCCCCCTTTTCTTCTGTTTTTGGCACACTGAGAATTGTACTTTATCACAATTTACCCGATTGGATATGTTAATAGGAGACATGCAGCACAACTATCGGATGTAATTGTCGTGTAATTTTGTACAGACATTCAGAGTATGACTCATAAGGGCTTTGGTGATTCCCTGATTTCACCAGCATTTTTATGTCTTTGGCTTTAATATCTTGACAATAATTATAAGATGGATTGCCATGAAATTTTGTACAGACATCCATGGTGGCCATGGATAAACCCCAATGACTTTGGAGATCATCTGATTAGAACAAAAATTCAATTTGTCCGATACTATTCCTGCAAAACTAATTATATTCTCATCTGCCAGCTGTACTATGTTAGGACTGTCACTATGAGCATGTTAGCATGCTGACTTTAGGATGTAACTCAAAGCACAGTACAGCCTCTGACGCTAACATGGCTGTAGACTCTGTGACCAGAACATAACTTTGGTGGTACATTATGAGCAGGTGGAAACCGTATTTTTAGCACCACAAAATCGGATTAACAGTGATTAAAAAGAGTTTTTTCATCACAAATACAAAGTAATCAGAAATAGGTAGTGGTAGGTCACATGAAGTTCTACTGCATTCTTGTAGAGGATATTCATGAAGGAAAATGGTTGGAAAATGACACAGTAAGAGCTAAAGTGAAAATAAGAGGGTGTTCCTTCTCGCTGTATATTTAGATACTTCTGTTATTGCCTCTGATGATACAGTGTGGCTCCCCAGTAACACCTCAATAAAGGGGAAAGGGAAATATATTAGTGCCTTTATTATTGTTCTCAGGAAGCTTTATCTAATATTAGTCCTTGTGTGTGGAACAAGGAATAAAATTACTTTCTGAGTGTACAGCTGCATGCCAACACAGACTTTATCAGGCTGTATTCTGCAGGGTGAAGACTGTCTCTGTTTAGTAAATACGGTCCTAACAAAAAGAGACTTGCATAGATTTCCATTAACCCGCTTTGAAACTTGACCAGACAGTATCAGTGAGAGCCAGGCTGTGTTCATTTAGAAGATAAATTGCTCAACAGAAAACCAAACTAAAGAAGAAAAAAAAAACACACCAAACAAACAG